GCAGAAGAGCCCTTTATACAAATCAGCCGGCAGATGACGGACAATGATGAAAATTTGATTCTTTGAAGTCATAATGGTCATTGAAATGTGTGAAATTCAGGTATTGAAAAGAGAGCGGCCAGCAAGACTCTAAATCCTGGGTGGTTGCAAGAAGCTTGCTGGGAGGTTTTTCTGCATTTTGACACCAACTTCCCATTGCTTGTTCCCTGCTTCCTTTGTTAAAAAAAAAAAAAAAAGTTGAATTCACACAAGATAAATGGAGACAGTTGATAGCCGAATAATGCAGTTTTTATATGGAAAACTAATATTTTATAATGGAAATTGGTATTTGAAAGAGTTAAGTTTGTATACATATTCTGGCATATATCTCATTAGTGATTTTTTAGATTCTTTCTCTAGTGACTTCGACAGCTATCAGTTCTTCAAAACTTTCAAAGGTGGAAGAGGTTGAGAGTGTGATATGTATAATTTTAATAGCAAATTTTAATTAGAATGTCTAAGCTGTGAGCTATGACTGACTTGTTACTATTTCATAAAATAGTATATTGTGCATAAAATTTATTTTTGAAACTTCCTTAAGAAAATAACATTCTTTCTTCCCATTTTTAAAATTTTGTTGGTACATTTTAGATATACATAATGTTCACATTCCTCATAGGGAATTTGTATCTGTACATGATATACCTTATTGCTTTTTTGCTCATTCCCCTCCCCTCCTTTTTTGCTCATTCCCCTCCCCTCCCCTCCTGATCTACAAAAGCTTTTTTCCATTTTTTTCTTCTATTTTTTTCCTTGTCCCTTCCTTTTCCCTTCCCCCATCCCTTGTACCCCTTTTCATTTGAGCATTTTCTTCCCATTTCCCATTATCTGTTACACATTTTGGTCCTTATGTACACTTGCAGTTTCTCACACTAGAGAAACAATATGATATATAATTACATTTTTTAATTTTAGAAATATAAACTTCATGCTTGATCCAACTCTTTAAAAATTCAAAGTTTTAAAATTTAGGAAACCTGTTGTTATAATGGGATGTCTATCTTCATTAGAATTTACACATAACTAAGAACTGGCGACCTTTGAGATCCTTCAGGTGCCAACTTGAAGGCTTCTCATACCGTGTCTATGTAATTTAACCTTTTTGTCATCCAAACATTTATGAGTACTGTAAGCCATTTATGTATTTACCAGTAAAATGAAGCTCCATAAAAGGCAATATGGACAGCTTCAACATGTTTTTTATAAATAGATGTTTAGAAAAATTTTAGGTGATCCATATTATAATACAGAATTAGAAATCTATAGAGATACCACTAACCCAGTACAGTTTAATTAATTAGCAGATACTTTATTTATTTACTTATTGTTTGTGAAAGTAGAGTCACAGGTAACTCACTGAGAACTTGGAAACCAAACTACTGAAGACAGGGGATCAACACAGTGCCTCATAATTCTTTTCAAGTGTTGCATTGTTTTAATGAAATCTTGGAATGGGAGCTTTAGCCCATTGAAATGTCTCTTGGAAAACAGGTTCTTCTGTCACTAGCTGACGCTGTGTGGATGAAATGATAACAATAGAGTGTCGTTGTGCATTTTAGAAGTGTGAGACAAATCAGTTTGTCTAGACAAAGTGCGTCCAAGAGACTAGGAATTTTAGAGCCTTTACCCTTTAGGTGTCAAGTGTGTGAGGGATGCCAAGCCTTTTCATTCTCTGTCTTTGGCAGCAGCTCAGCTGGGCCGCAGTACCTTCTACTTCTGGAGGCAAAAACAGAGATTCTGTCAGTACAACTTATACTTCAAAAATCAGAGACTCAGCCAACTTTAAATTGGGAGAAAATATCAATGAATATTTGCCATGATTTGAGAAAACATGAAAGATATGTAGTTAATTCAAAATATGAAGAACTGATTATCAACATTTGTTAGCCACTAATCAAAAAAGATTTTCTATCCTAAAATTCATTTTGTCCCTTTTTATTTTATATATAATAAAAATCTATCATCTCATTTCCCTGAGGTAACTAGTGCTAAGAATTTAACGTTTGCTTTTTCATGTAATTGTTTTTAAATTTTTTAAATTAAAATTTCTTTATTTTTTTCCTGGACCATTACCATGATTTACAGGGCAATATACCTGATTATTGAAAATGAAAACATAAAAGATACAACAGATAAAAGACCTCACGAATATGATACTGCATTACATTCATCAATAGATGCTTGTTTTCTTAACTGTGGCTGTGACAGTCCTAAACCAGAAGGGTTTCCTATTTAAGCTGTAGTAACTTTTCTAACTATGGATCATTGTTCCTCCTGTGGGAGATTTTTATAGTTCCCTCTAATGCATTTAGGGAAACTGTCTCAAAGTAACCTGCAGCTTTCCTGACAACTTCTCACTTTCTCCTGCTAAGAAATATATAGTCTTTAGCTGTTGTTTTCCTAAAATCTTCTGCTACCATACCTACCACTTCCACCATTAGATCCGTCACCACCACCATAGGACTGCCATACCTTCTTCTACCAAGTGGGTCCTTCCCCTTCATGGGTTACTGTTGTCCATTATAATGCTCAAACTCATTATAGGTCCCACTACCATCATAATTACTACCACCAAAGTTTCTTCCTTCACCATCATTTTCTTCCTTCTCCACATCTACCACTCTGGTTTGCATATTCTGGTCCACTACCACCACAGCCTACTCTATTGTTGTAATCAGGACCACCACCATCATTTCTACCATCATTTCCTCCGTAATTATATCTCTGTTGCCAGCTCCATTACCACTATAGCCTTCTCTTCTACCATGTCCAAAATTCTCTTCACTACCTCCAAACATTCCTCCATGATCTCTTTGTGATCCAGCAGAGTGTACCTCTTAGGAAGGTATTTTCTCTCTTCACAGTTATGCCCATTAATAGTGAGACATTTTAGAATAACAGTTGTATCAGCTGTATCATCATCATCATAGGTTGCAAAAGCAAATCCTCTTTTTTCCCACTCTGCCTGTCCTCCATAACCTCTATGGTTTCAATCTTGCCATATTTTTCAGAGTATCTCTCAAATCACATTCTTTAATATTGCCAACAAAAATTTTCTTTACTGTTAGATGGGCCCTGGACTTTACTGAATCCTCTCAAGAAACAGCTCTCTTTGTTCCACTATAGCCCATTAACTGTGTATTGGAGTGCACATTGCTATATCCACCCCTTTAACACAAGAGTAAGTCACAAAAGCAAAGCCCTTGTAGCATTTTGTTGGAATCTCTCTTTACCAGTCTGTGAGTGTGCCCAATTTCTCAAAATGTTCTCTTAATATCATCTGTAGTTTCAAAGCTCAGACTACCAATAAACAGCATTCTCACTTGTTGTGATTCCTTTGGATCATGGCCCTCCTCCTGAAGTTGGGCTGGGGTGATTGACCTAGAAGTTTTACTTCCATTTTGAGGTCAAACTCATCTCTTCCAAGTCAAGTTCAGTATCTCATATAGTTAATTTAAAGAAGTCAAGTAATATATAGTTTCAATTATTAGGAATTTAGGTTAGAATGGAGCACCTGTGGCTGTATAATGTTTATAGTATTTGGTTATACCTTGCTTCAACTATAGTTGAGGAAATATAAACATATCAATCTAATAATATATAATATTAAGAATTAAGAAAAAAAAAAGAATTAAGGACTAGATAGCTTAGCAGAGTAAGCACTTGCTTAGGCAAGTGCAGAGACTGGGGTTCGATCCCTGGTACCGCATTCTGCACTGGCGCCACCTCTGGGCGCGATGAGCCAGCAGTTGAGTCTGGGCATGGTGGTGCATACCTGGAATCCCAACAGTGGGGAGACTGAAAACAGGAGGATCACTGCAAGTCTGATCTGCGAAGTGAGGTCTTATACCAAATACACAAATTAAAATAACAATAAGTAATGTTGTAGATTGCAAATACAGTGAAATAGTATAAAGATTATAGTTCTACCACAGTGCTATGCCTGAGCCCTATGCTTTATTAGTAAGGTTATGATTCTTCTTTCTTTTTTTATGTATTTGGTACAGGGTCTACAGTCATGAAGTACTTTATTATTTTATGTTTGATTGCCCTATGTTTTCATAAATATCTTAGCTGAAGCATCAAAATTCTGTACATTCCCTGGCTGAGCATTTATTATTGGATAAAAGTATTGAAAAAGAGATGCAAAATTTACTGTTATTTTCATTCCAAATTATGCCAAAATTACACATCTACTATGTAGATTGGACTCGTAGTAATTCTCCTATTTTCAGTCTCCCAAGCATTGGGATTATAGGCATGCACCACCATGCCCAGTCTCAATTGCCATCTCAGCGCACTCTGGAGGGGTCCCGGCACAGCACGCCAGGGATTGAACCCCAGCCACTGCTGTCTGCCTAAGCAGGCACTTTAGTTTGCTGAAGCTATCTGGCCAGCCCTCCAGCAACAGCCTTTAATAAGCAATAAAACTTACAGTATAGAAATGATTAATAATAGAATCTTTTCTACTTGAAATGTATTTACTTTCTATATCCACTTATTTATATCCTCTTAATATCTTTTCTCATCTGCTCTTAGGATAAGAGACTATTAACTACTGATTCTATCAGCAGTAGGCTCAAAATTATAGTATTGATCTATGGATGTAGTTTGGTCGTAGAACACTTACCCACTATGTATAAGTCCTTGAGTTTGTTTCCTAGCACAGAAAAGAATAGGGAGAGGGGAAATTGCCAGAGTTTTGTTGTGCAGAAGAGGCTCCAAAATTTTTATGACCCCCTTTCCCATTGTTTCCTATTATCATCTTACAAGTGTACAACTTACAGATGCTGGCATAACAGTTTATAAGTAAAATATCAGAAGTAGTAAAATAAGCCAGAAATTTCAACCCAATTCATAAACAAACCTAAGTAGAATGGGATGAATGTAGGGAACAACAGGAACATGTTTGCAGATATTTGAACCTTTTGGAACATCTTTATTGGCTTGTTTTTCTTTAGGATATCACTACATTAACTGGTGTTCCAGAAGAGCATATCAAAACCAGAAAAGTTAGGATCTTCGTTCCTGCTCGCAATAACATGCAATCTGGCGTGAACAACACCAAGAAATGGAAAATGGAGTTTGATACGAGGGAGCGATGGGAAAACCCTTTGATGGGTTGGGCGTCAACGTGAGTACTTTAACATAAGTATTATTTTCACCTTTCTTTCTTTTCAGAGTCCTATGCAGGATGCACTCATGAAAATACTTTTTGGTCCTGTTAGGAATCACTCTAACCACAGATTTATAGTTCTCCATATATATTTTATATATATAGTCATAGGACTGTGGCACAGTACAGTAAACTACAGCAATTTTATTCTAAGTACTGTCTATTGGATAAAATGATGAGTATTATAGGCATTGTTGGTGTGATAGTCAACCTGTGTATATTCATAGAAGATTGTGTGAATGAAACTAATGATTTAGTGACACTTTGTTTTTAAATTAATGTAAAATTTCTTTGTTTTGTTTATAGGGCAGGAACTAAGTTCAGAAATTAGCTCATTTAAATGAAATCTATATAAATATCTGAAACTTGTGATAAATTTATGGTACATTGAATGAAATTCTGAAGGGACATCTTTTCTCAAATCAGTATACTCGGGCCAGGGAGATAGCTCAGTAGGATAAGAGCTTGCCTAGCAAGCACAGGGTCCTGAGTTAAATCACCAGTACCGAAAAAAGAAAAAAAGAAAAAAAAATCAAATCAGTATATTTGCAAGAATTTGTCTTAAAATATCCACCATATTACAATTTAAATAGAAATATATTTCATTAGGTAAATGATGCAATGATGTAGTTTTTAGATGTTTTGATAGCCTTTAGGTTTTATGTTTCTCGCAATATATGGAGTTCTTTTGTAAATCATATGCTTTTAAATTTTTGAAAATTAATTAATTAATTAATTTATTTATTTAGTACAGGGTTGTGATATGCAGCTCGGACTCAGTGCTCCTCCTGCCTGAGCCTCCCCAGTGCTATGATTAAGGTGTACACCACCACAGAGCACCCAGGATTCCAGGGCCAGCACAGCATGCAGTACCAGGGATTAAACTCAGGTCCTTACATTTGCCAGGCACGCAGTTAGACTGCTGAGTTATCTCCCCAGCCCACATGCTTTTAGAAACTAAAGAAAATTACAAGGAAAAGCTTTTCCATACCCAGTGATTGAAATGTTAGGATCATTCTTTGAGTCACATGAGATTTTAATATATTCATTTATATCTAAGAATCATTATAGTAATGCATTTCTAGCAACATTCAGTAATAAGTGAGTAGTTGTACCCTTATATACATACTCTAAATTGTTTCTGGGTAAAACACTTTAAGAGCATAAAGTTGAATATTAGAGTTCAAAATAACATCTTTTCATCATATCCAACACAAAGTTTGTGGCGAGGTCCTTATAGCAAGATTATTAAAAAGAGAGCAGCATACAAAATCATTTAATGTAAGTTCTACATGATACAGGAACCTTTAAACAAAAACCTGAACAGGGAAACCTTTATATTTTTATGGTTAGGTGTAATGAACATTAGATGGCTCTGTAGAAGTATGATTGGACAAAAGGTATAGTCTAATAGTAGTAAACAAATAGCCAGGCCTATTTGTCTCAATTCTTATTTGGGTCCTAGTATCTTCAGAGATAAAACATTTTCCTCTGGGCATAGGGTGGGCCTTGCTGGGACAAGGGTCTTATAACCTTTTTCAGAGAAAGGTCAGAGATTCTGTTGTAGTCTACTTCAGGGGAAAAGAGCAGGCCAGAGCAACTTTCCTCCTTTGATTTTCACAATTACCAAGATGCTCAACAGTGCAGCGCCTGCCTGGCAAGTGTGACATCATGAGTTAAAATCTGACCTATATCGGTGACATTTTAAAGCTTTTCATAAAATTGCTGGGATTAGAAGCTGAAGTTTTCTTTTATCTAAAGTTCATTATGTAAGAAATCTCCATCTTCGATATTGTATGTAAACGGCTTGATCATAGTTTTCAGTTTGCTTATATTTCCTTTTATCATTATATGTCTATCATTCATAGAAAAGGAAGAAAAAAATTTAAAACCTGGCATTTAGGTCTGTGTATCTTTGAAATCTTGTTAATGAGAACTTTAATGGGAAAATAGAATTTTAATATGTTTTTTTTGATATTGGTCAAAGAAATGATTCTTGGATGTGTTAAGAGTAGTGTCTTCATTCTCTATGTAAAGTACATTTGTTTCCAAATATTCAGGTTCCCTAATGAGGCTTAAGTAGATTCATTTCTTCTGTATGCTGCCGTGGCATAGCGGATTCAGTAGACACCTAACCCTGATGATGGAGGAGAGCTGCAGAAGGGAGCAGAAACATAACAGAAACCACAGGGAGCGACAGCTTTGGAATTTTGTCCCATAGATTTATTTACTTACTTACTTTTTAATGTATGTAGTACAGGGTCTCGCTACACAGATTGGACTCGTAGTGATCCTCCTGTTTTCAGCCTCCCAAACGCTGGATTTATAGGCACGCGCCACCACGCCCAGTCTCATTCACTGTCTCGGGAGCAGGGGCGGCATCACACACAGGGAATCAAACCCCAGTCCTTGCATCTGCCTAAGCAGGTGCTTTAATCCCCTGGGCTATCTGGCTGCCCCCCATACATTTAATATTAGTATAAAGATAGAAAAGGACACATTTCTTCGAGCAGTAGAGGCAGTACAAATAGAAAAAAATAATTTTACAAAGTTATTGTGCTAATTTTGTGACAGAAGTTAGAAATCAAATGTTTTCCTGTATTTTTTCAGTGGGAGGGAGAAGAGAGGTATTATTGTGAAAGTGGTCATTGACTAATGGACATAGTTTTATTTTTTAAACTACAATGAATGAATTTCATTGTTGC